CGTGCAAAAAGTTGTCGAATCGGTAAATACTTTGGCAGCGTTTAGGTGGGGTTGGGAGCTGCAGAAAAGTGACTAAGAGAGGAAGAAACCTGCCCCGCGTCGCGCCTTGGCGGCTTGGTCCGCGCTCGCGCTAATCGAATAGGCAGGCACGCAGGCAAGTGCACTCACTTATCTGATAGTCGCCATCCCGTCGTCCAGAGGAAGCCGCTGCTCTTTCAGGCGCACATACTGGTGCTACTCAAGATCTGGATGCATCTCGGCACAATCTCTAGGCAAATCGATACACATGTCCAGGGCCGACCTTAGTAAAAGATGATCTTTTGCAAGCACCAATAGCACTCCGACATGTCCTTCATCTCTCCCTTCGGTACATCAGCATCAAAACCTGGCCATGGATCCATAATCCTCGAAATTCTTCCCCCGGATACGCCTGTCCTTCGAACCGTGTCATATCAATACCCACTCAAGCTAGTCGCCCCAGATCCCCTGGCACCACCCAATTATAGCAGAGAAGCAGAGGACGCCACAGCAGCAGTCACCCCATGTCTCATTCATACAGTGTTTCTGTTGACCTATGGTGGAGGCATCGTAGCTGGAGACAGCATAGACCTGGAAGTTAGACTAGACAGCAGTACACGGCTGATACTGTTGACGCAAGGGTCGACCAAGATCTTCAAGACCCCTACTCCAGAGCTAGTCTCACGACAACATATGAACATACATCTCAAGAACAATTCCGCCTTAGTCTATCTCCCCGATCCAGTGCAGCCTTTTGCCAACACGGCCTTTTCTCAGTCCCAGATCTATCACTTGGAGAAAGAGCAAGGTAATCTGTGTGTCTGCGACTGGGTCACAAGCGGCCGTTCCGCACGCGGAGAGAACTGGGATATCTACGAATACAAGAGCCGCAACGAGGTCTGGACCGTAGACGATGCCGGCGAAAGGAGACTGCTTCTACGGGACAACCTCATTCTAGACAAGCATGGGAAGACGGGGCTGCAACTTTCATCACGTATGGATAGCTATTCTGTCTTCGGCACCTTGATCGTTCGCGGCCCCATCTTTTCGTCACTGTCAAAGTTCTTCTTGGATGAGTTCGAGGCACTACCGCGTATTGGTGGGAGGAACTGGGGCGACGCGGTACAGCCAGAGCTTCAAGCGCATGAGCAGAGGCGGTATGAGAGGCAGCAGAGAGAAAAGGCGGATGGGCTGATATGGAGTGCTGCGAACGTGAGAGGCTTTGTCCTAGTCAAGTTCGCCAGCAGGGAAGTTGAAGGCTCGAGGAACTGGCTGAGAGACATGATCAAGGAGGAAGGGTCGCTGTTGGAGGCATTTGGGGAAAGGGCAATTTTGTGTTTGAAGTGAAGCTAGAATTCGAAGATACCCGAGACCACGTAGATGAATGGAAAAGCAGAACTGGTTGGATGTCGTGTCTCGATGTTGTTCGTCGAGCGACTCGCAGCCCCACGCGGCGTGTTGAAGGCCCAAGCACCCGGCGTCCCAAAAGTCGATGGGTGACGTGCATAGCCGCACCTGAACGCTCGTCCAGCCGCGCACCCACGTCCCTACCTGACCCTATGCCCTACCACCGACCTGTCGTGGTCTCTTTGTCGTCAATATGAGCGGCAGGCTCGTCGCGGGCCGCCTTTCCACCATCGCACGCCGCTCACCGCTGCTCACTCCGCGCTTCTACACGACGCACTCGCTGCCCGCCGGTGGCCTCCTCCGCAACCAAGCCGGCCTACGCCTGGTGAAGCGACGACCATGGCCGCTGGGTAGCTACTCGCTGCACAACATCCCCGCCACACGCTCCATCTCCTTTGCGCGCGTCATACCGAAGCTGGTCGGCAAGTTTGCGACTGTAGGCGCCGCTGCCGGAGGGGCTGTCGTTGCAGGCGTCTCATATATCCAGTACCAAGCTGGCCGTATGTATATGCATTCTACTATATCAACCCAAGCTAATACCAAACAGAGGCGGGAACATTCGCACTCGACCTCTTCCACCGAACCAAAGACGGCGCGACCGAATTTGCGGGCGGCGCACTCAGCACGGCAAATGGCTTCTTCGACCAGCTAGAAAAGGGCTTCAAGTCGACCAAGGACGAGTTCGAGGGCGTGCAATACCCGGAATGGCTACAGCGCCTACTCGCCAAGGACGAATCTGGTGGTGGTGGCAGGAACGGTGGCGGCAGAGGCCCAGAAGAACCCAAGCAGAGCGGTGCTGGATCTGCTGCTGCCGGTGCATCAACAGCGGCGGCGTTCGGATATGCCCAGGAAGACGACGAAGACAGACCACAGGCGGAGAAGATCGCACGAGACGAGCAGATGATGATGCTCACCAAGAAGATGATTGAGATACGCGGGCTTCTGCAGACTGTTGGACAGTCCGATTCGCTCACGTTGCCCTCCATTGTTGTCATCGGCTCGCAATCGTCTGGAAAGAGTTCGGTCTTGGAAGCCATCGTGGGCCACGAGTTCCTGCCGAAAGGACACAACATGGTTACGCGGCGACCCATTGAGCTCACACTCGTCAACACACCAGATGCACATGCAGAGTACTGCGAGTTCCCTGCTCTCGGCTTGGGAAAGGTCACAGATTTCAGTCAGGTGCAGAAGACGTTGACAGACCTGAACCTGGCTGTGCCAGCGAGCGATTGCGTCTCCGATGACCCTATCCAACTGCGCATCTACTCGCCAAACGTCCCCGATCTCTCCCTGATAGACCTGCCCGGCTACATCCAGGTCGTTGGCCGAGACCAGCCCCCGCAGCTGAAGGAAAAGATTTCGCAGCTTTGCGAGAAATACATCAAGGCACCCAATGTCATCCTCGCCATCTCTGCCGCTGACGTGGATCTGGCCAACAGCACCGCGCTGCGAGCGTCCCGACGTATGGACCCTCGAGGCGAGAGGACTATTGGTGTCATTACAAAGATGGACCTTGTGGATGCCGAACGCGGTGCCAGCCTTCTCAGCGACCAGAAGTATGCTCTGCGTCTGGGATACGTCGGTGTTGTGTGCCGGGTACCACCCGGTGCTGGTGGCTCGAAGCTCTTTAGCCGCGGCAACGGCAACATCACCAATGCGATTACAAAGAACGAAAAGGCGTACTTCTCTTCGCATCCTGAGTTTTCAGAAGGATCAGAGCTCGCCGTCGGAACGCAGAACCTCAAGAAGAAGCTCATGCATGTGCTCGAGCAGACAATGGCCGGCAGCCTTAAGACGACAAGCGAGGCTATCCAAAGGGAGCTTGAAGATGCCCGATACGAATACAAGGTCCAATACAACGAGCGACCTATCAGCGCAGAGTCATACCTTGCGGAATCATTAGATGGTTTCAAGCACTCCTTCCGTGGCTTTACCGAGCAGTTCGGTCGCCAACAAGTTCGTGACTTACTCAAGCACGAGCTCGACCAGCAGGTACTCAATCTGCTTGCACAGCGCTACTGGAACAGACCTTTCGATGACCTCAGTGTTCCCTTCCCTGAGACCGACCCTCTTACGGACCTTGCCAAAGCTGATATCGACGGCGAAGATCAAATATGGCAGATCAAGCTCGACAGCTCCAGTGCTGCACTTACGAAACTGGGTGTCGGACGTCTAGCTACCAACGTTGTCGCAAGTGCGCTCCAAGCACACATCGACCGCCTCATCACCAACTCTCGCTTCGCCGCCCACCCCTTCGCCCGACAAGCCATTACCGACGCTTCCACCTCCATCCTCAAAGACCTTTCCTACGACATCTCCGATGAGTTGGAGATCTGCATCAAGCCCTACAAATACCGCATCGAAGTCGAGGACAACGAATGGGCAAAGGGTCGGGAAAATGTCACAGCTGTGCTCAAGGACGAGCTGAAGGTCGTCGAGGCTGCCGTAAAGCAGCTTGAAGAACAAGTTGGTGGCCGCAAGCGAGTCAGGGACGTAATGTCGTTCATTGACCGCGTACGAAGCGGACAAGTCGTTCTTGAAGGTGACGGAGTTGGCGGTGCCGGCGGCTTCAGCTCTGCACTCCTTGCTAAGGGTAAGTTCAATTCTCTTATGCAGATCTTGCTCACCCGAATTCAACACTAACAATGCTGTAGGCCGGGAAGCTGTCTTCCTCCGCGACCGTATCGACGTGCTCAAACTACGCCTCCTCGCCATCAAGAGCAAGCAATGCGCCAGCAAGAAGAACAAATACCACTGCCCAGAAGTCTTCCTCGACGCCGTCGCAGACAAGCTTACAACAACTGCCGATCTCTTCCTTGACGCTGAGCTGCTAAGCAAGTTCTACTACATCGTAAGCCACTACCCCTCTCCTTACTCACACAACTTTCACTAACACCCTCTAGTTCCCACGTGAACTCGACGCCCGTCTAGGCCGCGGCCTCTCCCAAGAAGAAATCGACCGCTTTGCCAAAGAAGACCCCAAGATCAAACGCCACCTCGATGTCGTGCGTCGCAAGGACCTCCTCGAACACGTACTCAAGGAGATGGAGGGTCTGCGCCAACTCGAGCAAAGAGAGAAGCGCATGATGGGACGACGAGACGATAGGGATGAGCGAAGGAAGAAGGGCTGGAGTATGTTCTAGATGTAGGAATGACTGGATGACGACGGCCTTCGTGTTGGGTATAGACTGTATGGCGCTGTTGGCGTTTCGTGAAGCGGAAAAGAAGCTTCTTTGTTGATGTTGATGACGATGACTTCGCTACTCCCTTATTGGTCTTATTGGATTGAGATTATGTATATATGACTTTCTGATCACACTGTTCCCGTTCATCCAGGTCGATACGCTGATGACGAACGGTCGCCGTGAAATAACGTGCTGCATGACGATGACAACTTGGGGATATGAGAAAGATGGTTGATTGTAATCTCATCTATCGGGTATCTTCAACTAATGCCACCTAGAACTGTAATGCTAGGTCCCCCACAAGTACAAACTCCATTAGAACGCCATACATGCCACGTAAAATCGTATCTTCGTCTCTCCTCCACTCTTCTTAAGGGTCAGTGGTCTCAATCAACCGATCAAACCCCAGTGTCTCTTAACCCCCCAATCCAACCTTGTCATACCCTGCAGATCATCGCCATTCAAATACCCCACATCCTCCTCAACCAGCATCTTCCACACCCTGTTCCTCAGTCCAATGGGAAACTTAGGCGCACTCCAGTAGCGCGACTTCAGTCCCCTTTCCTTCGCACTTTGGATCTGAGCGCGGATCTTAAGGCGTTGAGCTTCGGTGATGCGACCGAACCAAAGTGTGCCGATTGAGTGGCCAAAGTTGACGGATGCGTAGTATGAGTTTGTGCTGTCGAAGTGGGACGAGGGTGTTGTGCCGACTGTGCCTTGGCCGCCGCGAGTGGTGACTGAGCCTTCATCGAGCTTGTCCAAGGGAGCGTCGAAGAAGATGTCGCGGTAGGTTGAGTTTGCGGTGATGAGGTCGAAGGGGGCGTTGCCGGTTGCGACGACAGTGATGGCGCCCTCGATGGTGGTGTTGCCGTTGAAGTAGGTGAGGTAGCCCTTTTCGCGGAGTGCGTTGAGTTGTTGCGATACGACGGGGAAGATGTCGTGGCCGTTGTTCTTGAAGTCGACTAGTAGGACCAAAGTCTGCGCAGGCTCGGTGTCAAAGATGCCGTTCTTGACATTGGATGAAGTGGAGAAGTCTCCGAGTTCGTTCTTATGGTCTAGCATCTTGACCAATGGGTCAACGTACATGGACGTAAAGGTGCCATCTTGCGTCAGGGCGTTGGTGCTGTGACCAACGTACAGCTCCTCATCGAAGAGCCAAACATCTGCTTCGACGCCTGTGCAACCCCAGCGCAGGGCGTCGTACAACGGTACTCGGCGCCAGTAGTCGTTGTGCGAGTGGCAAGGGACCGGAGTTACGTCGCGTGTTATATCTAAGAGCTGCGCCTTGTCTAACACACTCGAGTCGAACGACGAGACTACATAATCATCCAGAAAGGTAGGCACGTAGCCGAGAAATACGTTGACGATGTGAAGAACACCACTAATAGAGTCAGTATACTTATTCTTCTTTCTCCAAATCATCACAGGATGACAGCTGCATGTAGGGCAGGGGACTGTCGAATGAGAGGGTTGCCGCCGGAAGGCGCGGAAGCTAAGGTCTGACAGGCACTTACAAGAAGATGAATACCAGCAGCGGTATTATAACACAGGCTTTAGCTGCATATTTCCTCTTCACTCGATACTTCTTCGACTGCGTCTTTTCATCCGGTAGCCTCACACGTCCACAGTCCTCGTCGACCCGCAACTTTGCATTCCGTCTTCGAATGCTCATTCTTAGCCGGCGCCAGAACCCAGGTCGCGATACTATCTCCTCCTCGTCCGAAGCAAAGATGGAGCCGTTGCCATCTTCTAGCTCGCGCAAGGAAACATGAGGTGCTTTTGCATCGAAAGAAGATTCCGAGTCGGAAGAGATGCGTAGAAGAGGTTGGGTGGAGGGGGTTTCGGTAGCCATCTTCAGGCACGAGCCAATCGCAGGCAAGGATCTTGCACGATTAACTTGCTGGACCCTGAGAGGTGGGGCAAGCGACATCGATATATGCAGCGCACTTGTTCAACGATGGGGGATGCGATGAAAGAATTGAGATGTTGAAGGTCGTCTTTGCTCGCCTGGGCGAGTTTGCACCTCAAAACCAAGGCGTTCGCTGGCTAAACACACCTTCCTCTTCGACAGTCGCTCCAAAACGCCACGAGCTTTGTACCGGTGATCCAGACTGGCTATTGTCCCGTCCTTGGGTTCGGAGGAGGCTAGACTGGCGCGATGCACCTCCGCGGTTCAGTGCAGGATCCAGAAAGTCGCGCAAAACGCAGGGTCCAGTTCCTTGGTAGAGCCTCTCAAGATTCCGGGTGTCGATGGATTGAAGGCGAAGGACTTGGAGTTGTCAAGAGCAATCTGGGTCGGAGGCTACTTATTGCGAGACAGAGTGCGATCGGCCAGCCCACCCGTGAAACGAATTCAACCCACGAAGATAAAGTGCGGGCTATCAGCATGCAAGCCCTCGAGAAAGCCGCAGCGCCCAGCAGCGTTCGAGAACTGGTGCACGGCCTGGAGAGCGAGTTCGGGCACGCAACACGGCTGGCGATGGTGATTGGTTGCGAGTGAGAGGATGACCGACACTCAACGGCAGATGCTAACGACTCGGTCTGGTGAAAGTCGGAGCAGATGATCAGAAAGGTTGTGCTTTAGACGGGCACGTTGCTGAGCTTGCGCACTCAGTGGTTTATTTGAATGCGGCGTGGACTGGTAGCGATAGACGACGCATCCACGTTGCACCTGCCCGGACGCGTAGTGGTGATGGCTTCGGTCCGAAAACTGTCACAATGGGGCATCATTTTTGCCTTGATTGCGAAACAATGCATTTAGTCTCGATAGCGTCGTGTTTCCAGGATTGACGGGTTGCACGCTGCGCGTCTCTCGCTGAGCTCATTGAAAACGGCCACACGACTGCCGTGATTGGTTCCAGCGTACGTTGTAGGTTTTCGGTCGTTCTGTTCTGGGCCTGCGCCACACTTGAAAGCTTGCAGATGAGGCGGTAAGCCGGAAGTTCTAAGCAACGCAAGCACCGCCTCGGCAGGCCGTGTATGTTTTCTCTGTGTCTTGTAGCACCTCCGCAAGTGAAAATGGCGGGGTGAAGCCGAGCGACACGTGCGGATAATGCCAAGATATCCGATCCCCACTTGCCCGATAATCCCTGTCGCGACTCCGTAACTTTTTGCGACAGCCATCGACTGATTACCGTCGGGACTCGGTATCGAATAGACAGCCAGCCAATACCCAATATGCCTCACAAACACAGACGCGTGGAGGAGGATGATACCCAGTACGTCATTTCGTATTTTCGCAAGCCTAATCACTTGGAGACAGTGATCTGACCCGTCGCCAACAGGTTCAACCTTCCGCCCAACGTCCACGCCGCTCCTCTCGCCGTTGGCAAAGCGCGCACCTTCAGCACAGCTACCAAAGGCAAAAAGCGCAAAGTAAACCAAGTCGAAGGTTATGGCGCAGACGACACCCCCAAGGCCTTCCAGCGGCTCATGGCCTTCTCCCAGGGCGGACAAAAGAAGCGCTCAGGGCTCGACGACGGCACTATTAAGACGAAGAAGCAGAAGAAGCAAGCCGCAGCTGAGGCAGTAGAGAAGGACGATGCAAACAATAAGAGCGAAGAGCAGGTGCAACCGACCACCGCGCTGAAGATACAACCTGGAGAGTCGATGCACGAATTCCGCGCGCGAGTTGACGCAGCGTTGCCCATGTCAGGCATCACCAAGTCCGGCAAAAAGGTTGCAGGTGTCAGCGATCACAGAGTGACCAAGCACGAACGGCATCTCAAACGTCTACAAAAGGGATGGAGGGAAGAAGAAGCGCGGATACGAGAGAAGGAGATGGAGGCAGCGGAACTGGCAGAAGAGGAACAAGACGAGCTGGATGCCATGTGGGAAGACAAGACAGCCGATCTCGACACGACACGAACGGTCAACGGCAAGAAGAAGAAGGCGAAGAAGAACAAACGCAGGAAGCTGGCGGGCGAGGTGGACAATGGCAGCGAAGACGAGTGGGAAGCTCTCAAGAAGAAGAGAGAAGAACGGAAGGGCTTGCACGACATCGTTCATGCACCGCCCACTTTCGACAAGGTACCGAGAGAGATCTTCAAGGTGAAGAACGGTGCTGGCGCAAAGGTGGGCAACGTGCCTAAATTGGCTGGTAGCTTGAGGAAAAGGGAGGAGTTAGGCGAGGAGCGTCAGAAGATGATTGACAAGTATCGTGAGATGATGGCTGCGAAGAGGGGGACGCAAGAATGATGCGTTGGTTTTAGTCGATCTTGAGATACCCCAGATACATGTACATCGTGCTACGCTGTGAATGCAGATCGGATGGTTCATTGAAGAATCGCAATAACTTGCCACCTTGATCAGTCATGCGTTGATTTTCTATGAGATCTGACAACAGCGATGTGAATAGATGGAAGTACACGAAGAAGACAATCAGATAGTGTGCAGCTCTTGGTGGAAAACACTATCGCATTTCAAAAGCGCGGTACACGCTGCAGAGTAGCAGTCTGCAGCATCGCGTTGCCGGGAAGAATCTACTCGAGCCGTTGTCGCGCCGCGCGTCGGCTCGTGGTGAAGGCATTCAGCTATGGTCTGGGTGTCCAGTTTCCACTCTGGCAATACAAATAAACATTGTCAATGGCACTTCTGTGAAAGCAAGAGGTCGCTGTTGCTGCATCGGGCATCCTTGAAAATCCATCGAAGACATCAAAATCCTGAGAGCAACACATCGCTGTTCCCGCAATAGGAAGATTTGGAGAACCTTGGCACTGTCAATCGCTGCTAGAATAAGAGGCCAAGGCCAACCTGCAGAATATCGCACGGACACTACCTCATAGGGCAACTTTGAGAGTCCGTTGAAGACGGCATTTCTTGAAAGCAAAAGGTTGCTTTTGCCAAGCTTTGTCACGTGGCGGAGATCCCCGACTAGGTAGGTAGCGAAACGGCCGTGGATTGTAGCACTTTCGCAAAAGCAAAACATCGCGAAGCCAAGACGTTGTGGGTCGCTGAAAAGTGGGACGACATGTGAGAGGGGGGTTTCACGCTACACGACTGACAGTAGCCCTGGAGAATTTGATGCCTGATTTCAAGGTTAGGACGGATCTGGTGCAAGCTCATGACGTTGAACGTGAGAGTGTTTCAGTTCTATTCGAAATACAAATCAATCAAAACGCGCCTCTAAATATTCCCTGTGTGATGTCTTATCATTGAAGCTTTTGAGGTCTGCTTCCGAGCTTCACCAATGCCACGTTCTTGAAAGGACGACGCCCGACCTTCAACAACGCTTGTTCTTGGTGGGGTGCGTGCAATATATGAACATCCACCATGATAATCTACGACGGTAATTCCAAGGTGACGCTTGTGGTTGAGATGCAAGTACATCCATCCGAAGCAGCAGTGCCGACTTTGAAAGCTTCCATGAACGCCACAGGGTGATGTGATGAGGGCGCCGCGATGAAGCGATCCATGGGGTGCATATCTTCAAGTGCGTCACGCACGACTTTGAGTTGAAGTATTGAGTGATGGTACGGGCATGGTGGTGCAGAGGAGCGGCTCAGTGTTGTTTGTGCTAGGTAGTTTAGTATATGTGCGTGTCCGGCTGTTGGGAGCGAACATACCATTATTGGGCGAGATTGCAACTGGGCCCGACCTGCTAGACTTGGCCAAGCGCCGTGGAGCCCGACTCATGGTTCGTGATGTGTGTTGTGATGATGTATTGGCTTAGCCAATACTCCGAATGCGTTTTGTTGACAAGGTATGATTGTAGTCAGGAGAACAACGAGTTGTATGCGACTGGGGCGTGTGTCATCTGAAGGGCGGAAGTGGCATTTGGACAGCGTCCGACAGACCAGCTTTTGATATACATGAGAGCCAGCAAGGACGTGGGGTGGCAAAATGACCATCGGTAACACAGATGTGGGTTGAGAGGGAATGGATGCAAGCCCCAGTGAGCCTTGTAGGAAGGATGAACAAGCCACTGTTCAGACAGTGCCCCTTGGCCGCAGTGAAGATTGATAACGAAGGTCTCACGGCGAGCGGGTTGAGGAATGCTGGATATCGGAAGCCAGATAGCCAGTGAGGGTCGAGTAAACGGGCGAAATGGCGTAAAACCATCAAGTGAGTAGTATGTTGCCGCGACGTCCTGTTGGCTACGTCGATAGACAGCTAGCCCTGAACGGCTTGGTTGGGTTGAGCGTCTGCTAGGTTTGGGATCGATGGGGCCACGGTCTGTGTGTTAGGGCATGGAAAGGCGGCCATACCAGCGTTTTCCATTTCGGGGGATGGGACGTCATGTAGAGACCGTGCTAGCCAACCATGTTTCCAATTTTGGCATCTCATCTATTCACGCTAAGGGTATGCACCTGCTACGGTAGTCGAGTAAGGCTCAATCGCTGGGTTGTTAAGTCTCACTCTTCCTGTCTCCAAGATGGCGTGGCCTGGCTGACGAGCTTTCAGCTAGATGCCCTGGTCTGCTT